TTCATATCCATTCTGTTAGCCTGTGTCTTTTATAGGTGAGTTAAGACCATTAATGTTGAAGTTGAGTAAGAACCACTGATTGTTGACACTTGTTTGTTTTAGATTTGTTGTTGGCAGTGGTATTGTGAATATATTTGTCCTCCTTTACCCTTGATTTCTGGTGTAGTTGCCTACATCTTTGTGGGTGTAGTCTACCTTTGATGCCTCACAAACATTAAGAAGACATGAATGCTTTTTCTAACAACAACAATGAAAAATATTTTAAGGTGTCTGTTAACAGAACCTAAATTTGATAGGAAAACAAATACTATTAATGTACTTTACCTGTGTTATAACCATTAGGTATCTAAGATATGATGTTTTCTTATTTTAGATACAGCTCCTGGCCTTTCTTTAAAACTACCTGATTAAAAATTGTTTCCTAGGTGTAAGGAGTAAGTTTTTTCCGCCTGCCGCTGGTCTCGTCCCACCGCTGCGCCAGCCCCAAATAATGCACAGAGACTCTGTATTTGATATAATGCTGTTGACCAGTTACTTGTTTTCTATCAGCTAGCTCTGTCTTAAGTATTAACCCATTTCTATTAATCTCCACGTGGTCTTATCTTACCGAGAGAGAGCCTGCGGGCGTTCTGCTCTGTCTGTCTTCCATCTTGACTCCTCCTTCCTACTTCCTCTTTTCTCCTTGTCTCCTAGTCCCACCTATCTTGTTTTCCTATTGGCCAACAGTGCTTTATTCATTAACCAGTATGAGAAACATATTTACAGAATGACATCTCCCATTCCCTAGGGGCTGAAGAGATGACTCAGAGGTTAATAGCACTGGCTACTCCTCCAGAGGTCCTAAGTTCAATTCCCAGCAACCACATGGTGGCTCGCAATACTCTACAGTGAGATCTGGTGCCCTCTTCTAGCCTGCAGGCAAACATGCGGGTAGAACACTGTTTACATAATAAATGAAAAAATCTTAAAAGTTTCTTCTTTACAAGAGAAATGTTGAAGACACTCTGAGATTTTATAAGATGAATTTGGAGTGAAGGATAAAGAAATAAGCTTAGGGCTGGAGAAATGGCTCACTGATTAAGAGCACTGGCTGTTCTCCCAGAGGTCCTGCGTTCAATTCCCAGGAACCACATGGTAGCTCACAACCATCTGTAATGAAATCTGGCTCCCTCATTGTATATATAATAAATAAATAAATTTGAAAAAAGAAATAAGTTTAAGAATTCCATACGGCCCTAAATTTGCATAAATGTTTTTATTTTGTGTGTGTTTTGGGAGCATGTACATCACATAGCTTATAACAGAGGTCAAAGCACAATTTGGCTGTTGGATCTGGTTTCTTCTTTTACCTTTATGTGGACTCCAGGGATCAAATTAAAGTTGTAGGGCTTGGGCTTGTGTAGCAAGTGTTTTTGTTGTTGTTTTGGTTTGTTTGGTTGGTTGGTTTTGGTTTTTGGAAACAGGGTTTTTCTGTATAGCTATGGAGCCTATCCTGTAACTAGCTCTGTAGACTAGGCTGGTCTCAAACTCACAGTGATCCACCTGCCTCTGCCTCCCTGAGTGCTGGGACTAAAGGTGTGTGACACCAACGCCCAGCTTGTGTGTCAAGTGCTTTTACCTACTCTATACCATGTCACTGGCTGCTAAATTTGGACAGAATTTACAAAAGCTCTTCAAATTTTTCTTCAAACTAATTTTAAATACAATTACATAACATTACAACAAATAGTATATACATGGTTGTAGCACGAATAATAAATTCCCACAGACAAGGGCTGGAGAGATGGCTCAACGGTTAAGAGCACTGCCTGCTCTTCCAGAGGACCTGAGTTCAATTCCCAGAAACGGCATGGTGGCTCACAACCATCTATGAGACCTGGTGCCCTCTACTGGCAAAAATAATAAATAAATCTTAAAAAACAAAACAAAAAAACCCCAAAACCAACAACAAAAAACCCAGAGACAGATATTGGGGTTCAGACTGAAGATCAGGAAAGCAAAGCAGCCAAGTCACTAGAGCTCTACTCTACCAAAGGTCAGACCAAAGGGGGGTGATCTAGTCCTCAGTGTGACTGCAGACTGTAATGTTCTCCACCAAACCTCAGACAGCCCTGAGCTCCTACCTTACATTTCTCTCAAAGCTCTGTCATCCCAAGTGCTGGGATCAAAGGTGTGAGCTCTGTTTCTTTTTTAGACTGACTCATTCTCATGTAGCCCCAGGTGACCTTGAACTCACAGAGATCCATCCATCTGCCTGTTCCCTGAGCACTGATATTAAAGGTGTGGCCACCACTGCCTGTCCTCTATGGCTAGCTAACTACTGGCTTAGGTATGTGGCTAACTAATGGTTTAGCTCTGTACTCTGATCTTCCAGCAAGCTCTGTTAGATTACAAACAAAATATCACCACATAGTGTCACAAATGTTTTAAAAACACAAAACCTAAAAGAAACAAGTCAGTTAGTGTGTACATTTGTAATGCCAGCATTGAGGAGCTGTGAGTTAAAGGCTAGCTTGGGCTACATAGTAAAATCCTATCTCCTGTCTCATATAAAGGGAAAAGAGAAAGGAAGGAAGGAAGGAAGGAAGTGAAGGGATTTAGGAAGGAGAGAAAATATAGGTAAGCTGATCCTTTTAAATTTTATAAAAGAACAAATGGAAATTATTTTAATAAGATGCCCCACCCCCTTTTCAGTACAGGTGATTGAGTCTAGAGCCTTGTTCCTGTTAGGCACTCTATCACAAGCCTGACTTTTGAATTATGTGGGGAAAGAACCCAAATTGATAACATTCAGAAATTTTGAGTAGTACATGCTATCCTTCAAAACTACAGTATAGATAGTATATAAGCAATCTATGTGTTTAACTGCCAATATCTTCTACCAGAATGAAAAGTAACTAGTCATTGGGAGGTGGTGGCATACACCTTTGATCCCAGCACTCAGGAGACAAGAGGTAAGTGGATGTCTGCGAGATCAGGGCCACACTGGTTTACAGAGTGAGCAACACAGAGAACCCTCTCTTGAAAAACCAAGATATATATATATATATATATATATATATATATATATATATATATAGAGAGAGAGAGAGAGAGAGAGAGAGAGAGAGAGAGACACTAGTCTTTGCATACAAACATTGGGAATTTATAAATCAGGTAAATCAGGTAGATGTAATTTTGGCTAGTAAAAGCATGCTTCTTTTCTTCTGTGCTTTTTCATTTATTCATTTTGACACAATACTATATAGCTCAGCCTGGTCCAGAACACATGATCCTCTCAATTGGTGGGATTATAGGTATGTGCCACCGTGCCTGACTTAGTTTTGTGGGCTTTCTTCTCTTTTAAAACTTAAAAAATAAGTGTGTCTGTGGGCACACGTTCTGTGTTTGTGTGTGTGTGTGTGGGAGGGTGTATGCACATGTGTATAGAGGCCAGATGTCAACTTCCAGTGTCTTTACTAAGGCAAAACCACCAGTTTTTTTTTTGTTGTTGTTTTGGGGTTTTTTTTTTTTTTTTTTTTTTTTTTTTTTTTTTTTGAGACAAGGTAATTAGTCAGGCTGGCTGGCCAGTAGCCCCAAGTCTCCACCTGTTTGCATTCCCAGGGTGGGAATACAAGCATATACCACCCTGTCTAGCATTTTCATCTGGGTTCTGAAGATCTAACTTAAATCCTCATTCTTGTGTGACAAACATTTCACCAAGTATGCCACTTTACCAGCGGTGTAGGCTTCCTTTCCATACGGACTTTTTAAAGTCCTCACACTTGCTAGCCAAGGACTCTACCACTGACATGAATTGAGAGTAGGTGAATAAAATATTTCTATTCACCTCATCCCCCCATATATATTATCAAAATCATATTACTGCTTAATCTTTCAATGTTTCAATTATAGACTTTATAAATAGGGCTATAAATTAATCTCGTAAAAATAAAGCTTTAAACACGGCACTTACTACTTTCAAGCTTGTGAATTAAAAACAAGCTTTCCAAGAGATCTGACACTTTGGAATACTTCTTGGAAAATAAAAGATCATAAAAACAGAAGACTGTATGGACTGGGTAAAGGTGCTTTCGGTCAGACCTGACAATCTGAGTTCAGTACAGTTAATGAGTCTTTCTTACATGCTATGGTCTCCTGGGCTCTGTTCTGGTCAGACAGGACTTCGCTCGGGTCTACAAATAAACCAAGATCATTCATAAATTAAAGAGTTTTGAAAGAAATAAAAACAAAAACTCTCAGCTAAATTTAAACTTCAGATAAATAAGGGGAGTTTATTTTCGGCCTTTTTAAAGGTCTTTAATTCAACCCGGGCTCGTGCATTTTTTTTCGCTAAATCTTAAAACACTAACAGCTGCGGACCACTTGTCGGGATTCTCTTTCTGTCAGTTTACTACGCTATGTAGCTTTGAGCCAGTCATTCTGGGATTTGGGGTTCCACATTTCTAAGCGGCGGATCCGAGACCTATCTCAGAAACCACAACCACCTGAGACTTGAGTAAATCACGCACCTTCGGTGCTCACTACGTGGTTAAAAGCCCGAGCCGGCTGGCGGCTCCCCGCATCGGCCACGCCTAGCTTCACGTGCCACCCGGCGTACCTGCTGGGGGCTGCCCAGGCCTCCACCCAGCGCAAGCCTGCGCTACCTCACGGAAAGCTTAGAGTGGCTGAGAGGAAAGCGCGCGGCCCGGTCGTCACTTCCTGTTCCGTGAGGTCCCTACCGTCAGCCTGCACTTTCAACAAAACTCTGGGCTCTGAGGTTTCCACCTCCTGCACTTTCAACAAAACTCTGGGCTCTGAGGTTTCCACCTCCCACCCTCGCTCCCGCCCGCGCCCGGCACCTTTACGCTCCGTCTCCCTCTTTGTCTCCGCCCATGGTGGACAGCAGCACCCAGTCGCGAGAGTGTGCACACGGGCGGGCTGCGACAGGAACGACCGGGCCGCGGCACCTGGCGAAAGTGCGTGCTCGAAACAGCCGTGCGCTTCCTCCTCCCAGCGCGCCTTGCGTGAGCCGCCGACCCGGAAGTCGCCGTTCTGAATGGGTCTCGGGCCGGGGGCCGCCGCTCCTCGGTGTGGGCTCAACGCCGGGCGACTCTGGACGTCGGGTCTGGCCGGCCACTAGGTTCATGTGGAGGCTCCCGGGCCGCGTCGCGCTGCGTGGGGTCCGGCCCGTGGTGCAGCGGTGCGGCCGGGCCGGGGCAGCGACTGACGAGGCGGCGCGCGCCATGGAGCGCGCCGTGGTGCGCTGCGTGCCCTCGGAGCCCAAGCTCAGCCTGTCCTTTGCGCTGGCCGACGGCAGCCACAAAAACATGCAGCGGGACCAGAGCGAGCCTCTGGGCCGGGCTCTCAGCCGGATCGCCACCAACGCCCTCAAGGGCCACGCCAAGGCGGCGGCTGCTAAGAAGCACAGGAAGGACCGAGCCCGCTCGGGCGGCGGCGCGGCCTGCGCGGCGGCAGGGCCTGAAGCGGCGGCGGCCGGCGAGCCGGTGGTGAAGCTGTACTACCGAGAGGAGGCCGTGGCCGACGACGTGCTCAACGTGGATGCCTGGCAGGACGGTGCGGTGCTGCAGATCGGCGACGTCAAGTACAAGGTCGAGCGCAACCCGCCTGCCTTCACCGAGCTGCAGCTGCCGCGCTACATCATGGCTGGCTTCCCCGTGTGCCCCAAACTCAGTGTGGAATTTGGGGATGCCGCCAGCTCCGTGTTCCGCTGGTACAAGGAAGTCAGACCCGGCGCGTCAGAGCCTGGGCACGGCGGCCTCACGGCGGCGGCGGCGTCTCACTCATTGCCGCCTTCCTCTTGGACCGACACGGGTGTAGGAGAGCGCGTCTACACCCCGTGCAATGCTGACGTGGGGCTGCGGCTCAAGCTTCACTGCACTCCGGGCAACGGGCAGCGCTTCGGGCCGAGCCGCGAGCTGGAGAGCGTGAGTCCGGTGGAGGCCGGGCCTGGCACCTGCACCTTTGACCATCGACATCTGTACACTAAAAAGGTGACAGAGGACTCCTTCATCCGTACTGTCTCCTACAACATCCTGGCGGACACCTACGCCCAGACCGAGTTCTCCCGGACAGTCCTGTATCCGTACTGTGCCCCCTACGCCCTGGAGCTTGACTACCGCCAGAACCTTATCCAGAAGGAGCTCGCGGGCTACAACGCAGATATCCTCTGTTTGCAGGAGGTGGACCGCGCAGTGTTCACCGACAGCTTGGTGCCGGCCCTGGACGCCTTCGGGCTCGCGGGAGTGTTTCGAATCAAACAGCACGAAGGCCTGGCCACCTTCTACCGGAAGTCTAAGTTCAGCCTTCTTAGCCAACACGACATTTCTTTTCAAGAAGCACTGGAGTCGGACCCACTGCACAAAGAACTACTAGAGAAACTGGCGTTGAACCCTCTAGCGCAGGAAAAAGTACTCCAGAGATCATCTGTCCTTCAGGTCAAGTAGCTCTGCCTGTTTTCTTCATCCGTGTTTGGGGGGCCTTCGGAGTGGAGGGATGGTGTTAGTACTTATCGAAAACCATCTAGATTGCATTTCTTTAAAGTGTGTTTGCCCAAGTGTCTCATACAGTGTGTGATCTGTTCATTTATCCACCGTAAATTAAGCACCCCTAGTTAATATACCTAACTGCGCTGCAGGTTGTCTTGAACAAGATGAATAGACATCCTGAGTGTTTAAAATCCAGGTAGAGGCTGTGGAGTGTCAGCACACGCCTTTAATCCCAGCACTTGGGAGGCAGAGGCAGGCGGATCTCTGTGAGTTCTAGGCCAGCCTGGTCTACAGAAAGAATTCCTGGGACAAGCTCTAAAGCTACACAGAGAAACCCTGTCTCGAAAAAACAAACCAAAAAAACCCCAAAAGATACAGAGACACATGAAATTCAGTAATGATAACTTGCCAAGCTCTGTTTTAGAGCACTTTAAAGCAGTTACAAGTGTGCCTCTTATTTTAAGACCTTTTTTATATTTCTTGCCTAGTATGTAAAAAAAAATCATTGGCTTTTTGGTCTGTTTTTACAGATTATCATTTCATAAATGAGAAAATGTTAAAATGCTCTGATTTATAGAAGGATTCTTAGCAAGTTGACAAGGCTAGCATTATTGTTCAGCGTGTGAACTGCTTCCTAGCTTAGTACTGTCTTAATTTTTTGCTTGTTGGGTTCTGTTGATATTTTGAGACAGGGTCTCACTGTGTACCTGTGAATGTCCTGTAACTGAATCTGTTGACCAGGCTGGCCTTGAACTGAGATTGACCTGCCTCTGCCTCCCAGATTAAATTAATCTTGTCTTTGTTTTTAAAGGACATTTTTATTGTTTTTGTCCAGAGCTTTTAAGTAAGGGATTTTTTTTTCCAAGTAAAATGACTATTTTTGTACATGGTTGTGTTCTGTGCGCTTTTGTGTAAGCTCATTTAATTGAATACACACATCTATGAGGTAGGTGATATTGTTTTACCATTATAACACTGTAGTATCTTGCTTCAAGGCACAGTGCTGTAAATGATAAACTGTTCAAAGAGATCAGCCCGATTCCAAGGACAGGTGGATTTCTATGAGTTTCGATGCCAGTCTAGTTTACATAGAGTTCTAGGACAGCTAGAACTATATGGTGAAAACAAGCAACAAAAACCAAAGTTTTCTCAGATTGGCAGATGCCAACTGAACTCTTGGTGTTTTCTATTGTAGATTTCAGTTCTTCAATCTACAAAGGACTCTTCTAAAAAGATATGTGTTGCTAATACTCATCTCTATTGGCACCCAAAAGGTAGGTTTTACAAGTGACTTAATGTTGTTAAAGCTATTTTACATACACACACACACCCTTGATTTTAGTTGTTTTTTGTTTTTTTTGATAGAGCTTTGAAATGTATGTTAGCCTAGAACTTGAAATCCTCCTGCCTCAGCCTTCTCAGAGCTGACATTACAGGTGTATAACACCACCCCTGCCCTATGTAAACATTTATCTTGAATGCCACTCAGATGCTGTAGATGATTATTTATTCCTTCAAGCCTGATGACCTGAATTCAATCCCAGGGACCCATATGGTGGAAAGAGAGAACCGACTCGATGTAAATTGTCCTCTGACCTGAACACAAACACCAAGGCACATACATCCCACCTGTCACACAGTGTAAATGTGTGTGTGCATGCGCACACATACATGTTAAATGTTACTCAGGTGCCATAAATTGTAAGGGATCCCCCCTCCTTGGAGAGGGCTTTAAAAAGTACTTACCGTAATTTTGTTTGTTTGTAGGTGGATACATTCGTCTCATACAAATGGCAATAGCCTTGGTTCACATTAGACATGTTTCATGTGATCTGTATCCTGGTATACCAGTTATATTTTGTGGAGACTTTAATAGTACACCATCAACAGGAATGTACCATTTTGTCATCAATGGCAGTATTACAGAGGATCATGAAGACTGGGCTTCCAATGGGGAAGAGGAAAGATGCAGCATGTCTCTCACACACCTTTTCAAACTGAAAAGTGCTTGTGGTGAACCTGCTTACACAAATTATGTTGGTGGCTTTCATGGATGTCTAGATTACATTTTTATTGACTTAAATGCTTTAGAGGTTGAACAGGTGATTCCGTTACCTAGTCATGAAGAAGTTACCACCCACCAGGCCTTACCTAGTGTTTCTCACCCTTCTGATCACATAGCGCTGGTATGCGATTTAAAATGGAAATAGATTTTGCTTCATTGTGTCTGAAGAAGAAGCTACTTACTTTTCAGAAAATTTAATATGAATCACAGCTTATATATAAAAATCTTCAAAGAGGAAATCTAGACACTAAACTTTATTATGGTCATTCCCTACTACTTATGTTCCAGATGGCTTTGTTACAGAACCAGTTCATAATGTTTGCATCATATAATATCTTTAATCTTTTTAATAATTTCCTACATTTGGAGAAAACCATTTATGACTAGCAAGGAAAAAAATGAATTACTGTACACATTTTATAAGTTTTTTTAAGCTGGTAATTAAGATTTTTAAGTACTATTTGAATAATCTCTTAACTTTTCTTTTATAACGCATTTTACATTGAATTATGTTCATATAATTGGGGGAGGGGACATGCAGATAAAAGGTGAAACACTTCAGAGAGACCTGGAATAAAACATTAGTCTATCACTACCTCAATTTGGTTAGGATTTATTTATAATTTTAGAGCTTTAACAAAAGATTAAAACACGCCATTACCAATTTTTAGAGCTTCTGTATTTTTTGTTAGTATTTTCCTCTTATTTCTAACATTTTCTTTTTAGTGTACAAATGATGGCACAAATGCACATAATTTGTGTTCTCATTTGCACTTAAGCCCATTTTAATAGTAAGATGCAAGCACAATGGAGTATTCAAAGGGGACAGAACATAACTTGATTCCCTCATCTTCACGTATTTGCAAACACACAGGGTACATGACCATATGATATGAAAGAACAGCACAGTTGTTTTATGAGAAACTTCTGGTAGAGGCTTCAAGTTGTATTTGAGAACCATTGAGCATTTCTATGCTGGAAATGTTTTCAAAATTTTAGTTTCTATAAGTTGGAAAAAGGGAGCCAGGCATGGTGCTTTATAGCTGTAATCCTAGCACTCAGGAGTCTGAGGTCTTGAGTCTGAGGTCTTGTTGCTCTTGAGTTCAATACTAGTTAGGGTTACACAGTTCAAGGCTATTTGGGGCTACATATTTGGGAAAAAAAGGGACTTTTCCATTATCAAAATGAACTTTTTATAGACTTAAGCATTATAGTATAAAAGAAGCGTGCCACATAATTTATATATATAAAATTTAAAACCCGAAGCCAAACATTTTAAGAGGAGAAAGTACAAGTTGTATTGATTAGTATCTAGTTTAGATAACTAAGTTTTAATAAATTTGTTGTCACCATACCTTACTGGTAATGCTTTAGCTATTGCTTTATGGTGTTCAGGGTTAACTGTAGCATAGTTCATATTTCGGCAATTAATTTCTTAGATATTAAATGCTTCTCATCTCAAAAAGAGGTCTGATTTTCCAGTTTTGGAGTCCCTATTTCAAAACATTTCTAACCCAATACCATAAGAACGTTCCTCTTTTGAAAATGTGTCCTTTCACACATGTTCTTCGTAAGTTTGTTTAAACATTTCATCTGCGCTAAAGATTGAATTCTTTATTAAAATTGTTTAAAGGGAAATAATCATTAATGCGGCAGTTTCTTGGGATCTCGTTTAAAAAAAATAGCTCAAAAAAGTTGATGCTACCTAATTGTGCCTTCCTAAACATAGTAGTGGGTTATTTTATTTATTTCTCTTACTGAATATTAAATTCAGGGCTACTTAGTTACATTCCCAGCCATATACAAGCTTTTTTTTTTTTTTTTAAAAGAACATTTCAAGGGCAGTTTATATGGTTAGAAGTTCTTTTGAAAAAAAGAAAGAAATTAAGATTAATCCTGTGTTGCTAGGAATTGAACCCAGAATTCCAGAATTATGAATATGCTAAACATGTGCAGTACTGCCAACATACATCAGCAACACTTTTCTTTTTAAAATTTGGGTTTGTTTTGCTTTTAAATAAGCATGTTGACAAACTTTTAAGCTAAATCTTAAGGAGCTAATGGTAATTAGCAAGACATCAACATTTTGAAAGAAAATGCTTGTAATGTGAGATTATTCATACTCACAAAAAAAGAAAAAGAAATTCATTGATATCCAATATTAATCCCATGGTAGGCTTGAACTGTGGTCAGAGAAACTAGGATTTACCAAACATCCCAAGTCCTTAAATTTGTTATTTGTGGATTAAATTATATAGTCAGGTTATATACACAGATATTTCAGGATATTCAGATATTGAAGTATGAAGATTTGACTCTTAGTCAAATCTCCACCATTCAGATGTTAGGATGACTGGAATGCACAGGTAGGGAACATTACAAAAATTCTATAAATATCATACCAAAATTCATTTGTACTTACAAGTACAAGGTATTAATAAGAAGTGTTTAAAGCTGTATTTGTGATTGAATTTTTCTATTACTTTTGGAATTATTAGTACATTTAATTTTAACATGAGAAATCTAGCAACTTTGTAGTAAACCACCTTTTATGTCACAAGTTCGTGCTGAAGGAAAAGTGAATATTTTAGAGAACGTTATTCTGTTAAAACCAACTCTTAATACAGCTGTCCCCATAACAACACTAACAGTTTGTAATTCAGTAGCAAGAAGAGCATTTCTGGCTACAGTATTCTGGCTTTATTTACTTGGTATGTTTTCCAGGTTCATCTGTGTTACACTCTGTACCAATACTTCATCTTCTTTTACAACCAAATATTTTCTACTGCCTGGATAATACATCTTGCTTATCTGAATATTTGGATTTTCTTTTGCTATTGCAACTAGTACTATCTGTGTTCAAGTTTTTGGTCGAACATCCTTTTTTGGCAGTGCTGGGGAATCAAATCCTAGACTGGCGTATGTTAGGCCATTATTCTACCACTGAGCTACACACCCAACCCAGAACATCTATTTTTCAGTTCAAGTATATACTTCAGAGTCAATTACTGGGTCATAATCCTCTTTAGCTTTCTGAAGAACTACCAGACTTTCTCACTAAGGATACCTACGCTATCTCATACACTAGGTTCAGTTTTCCCTTCATCCTCTCAAACTCATTTCCACAACTTTCCTCCCAACCCCACCAAGACAGCCTTTCTCTATATAATAGCCCTGTCCTGGAACTCACTCTGTAGACCAGGCTGACCTCACTCAGAGCTCCACATGCTTCTGCCTCCTGAATGCTGGCGTAAAAGGTGTGTGCCACCACAGCCAGACTCTTATTGTCATTTTTTAAAACGGGTATCCTAGTTTATATGAAGTGATACTCTAATAACACATTTTTAACTTTTGAAGTTGTTGCAGTCATAACATGCTTTATTCTAAATAGTTTATCAAACCTCTTTTTCAGAGCCTACCTTCAGTAACTGCTACTTATTTTTATGAGTTTGTGCCAAATGGAAAAGGTCTAACTGCTTCCTTTGAAGAAAACTGTAAATATCAAAGTTCAAAATACAACAGCCTTGAGTGTAAACAGAAAAATTATGGTAAAAACCTAATATGTTCACAACAAAAGGCTGTTTTTTACACTTCAGCAGTTTCAGAGACTCACTTTTAAATGGGAACACTAAATCCAGATTAGTAGATAGCAAGAATGAATACTAATTGCTGAAAAAAATGAGATGATTATAATTGAGCATAATAAATACGTAATCATAAAAAGTTCAATCTATTTTAATTTTTTTTTAAATCCCTAAATTCAAGATAACTTTTAAACTGTAAGCCAATAAATTAAGCTGACATTTATCCTGTTAGATAGGAAGTGGTGAAATAATTACTTGACCGCCTACAGTGTATTAACATACAGATGCTAAAGTTTATATCAGAATTATAATTTCAAACATTAAAAGCTTCATCAGTTGAGTTGGCTGATACCAGCCTTTATATAACTATTAGTGAATGGCATTTGAAGCATTAAACCTGAGCCTGAGGAGACCACTCCATGGTTAAGAGTGCTTACTCTTTCAGAGGACCTGGGGTTCATCTTATAACATCCTGTAACTTCATTTCCAGGAATCCCAACATCTCTGTTGTCATCCCTGGGTACCAGGCATGCACATGGTACAAAGGCACATGACAGGCAAAACACCTGTACCCATAAATTTTAAAACTTTTAAAATTAAAAAACAAAAACTATTAAAGCTGCCAGTTCAGCTGGCTTAATACCACTGTCATCTGCCAGTTGAATTCATTCTGATAGGAACCTCTTGATGATTAATCAAAACCCAAGTTCTGTAGGCAGGGTTTCCTTGTGTAATCCTGGCTGTCTTGGAACTCATTCTTGTAGACCAGGCTGGCCTTGAACTGCCTGCCTCTGCCTCTATAGTGCTAGGATTAAACTGGTGTTTTTACTGTTGAGAGCTGTTGGTATTTGAGTGTCAGACTGACAAAGTCTGACACCTTTTAGGCAAACCCTGTTTGCCCTGACAACCCTTTACCTACTCTTGTCTCCATGAAATGTCTGTTTTGGACTTTCATAAATGCAAAGAAATCTGTCCTTGTGACTGATTTCTTTCATATAGGCTGTTTAGGTAGTTCCATGTTATAGCAAATAGTTTTTTTTTTTTTTTAATTTTCCATTGTTACACTACATTTACCTACTTATAGATTGATGGGCATTTGTACTGCTTCCACAGATAATGTTGCTCTAAACATTTGTGTATTAAGTTTTGTGTGGGTGTTTTCTCTTGTGTATTCCTCTAACACAGGAGCATTGTTGGGTCATATAGAAAAATATTTACCTTTTGGGAAATTGCTAAAGTAATACTGAAAGCAGGTATACAGTCTCCAGAAGTACATGAGGGCTCTAATTTCTGCACGTCCTTAATATTTTTATTCTTTGATAAGATATTCTAGTATGAAGTGGTACTGGTTTTGCTTTTTAATTTACATTCTTCTAGGGAACACGTCTTCCCTAATGGATTCCTAAAACAGTATCACAGCCTATATCAATTTTTTGTGTATGTGTACATACTTATAAAATGTACTAACAAATAGAAAATTTATGACACGCTATAATAAAAATTACTTAAAACCTTATTCTTTTGAAATTTTCCATTTTTAAAAAACAAGGTTGAACACTAAGACAAATTATGGCAGGCAAAAGTGTGTAGGAGAGAAAACTATTGTACATCCCTATTTGAATGGGTCTAAGTCTGCACAAAACAAAAACCCCACTGTAACTAAACCCAGAACAGTTCCTAAAAGCTAGTCCTTTGGTGCTCGAGAAAATTGAATACATACTATTCATTGGCAAAGTAGGAACTACTGTCAAGGCAGAAGGGAACCTAGGTCCATTTCTACTGTAACAATGACCTAGAAAGCAACACTATCACAGCTGCTTTACTTATTACTGTTTACCAAATCCAATTTAGGCACCTAAACATAAGTTTATAACTGGGAATAACTATTGTTAATTATTTGCCTAAATATAACAAAAAAAATAAAGAGCCTTCAAATGGCTTAGTTTTAAAATTCACTATGGTGCTAACTTATGGTTCCTACCCCTGAACTTGCAGTTTCAAACTGTCTGCTTTATACACCATAAAAAACACACTGTGCTATATTTTAGTTTTCTCCAACAAGAATAATACGTCTCTTATTTGGAAAGAAGGGAGAATTCACCTGCTGAGCTAAGGA